GCGGTCTTGAGACGAGGCACTGGACTAAGAACGGGAGGGTGACTGATCCGCTGACTGGAGGGAGTCTGGGGCTGCAGGAAAGGGAGGGAAGGAGAGGCTCCTGTCCATCTTCCGCGCAGAGGAAACTGCACGTGCAGAGCACGGGCGACCGGGAGACTAAGACTTCACCGCGCCGGCCTCGGAGCCCCCGGAGCGCTGGGCCAGGAGGGGGTGAGGCTGGCAGATGGCAGGGAGGCAAGGACGCGAGCGATTTGCAGGCGCGATGGCCGCGAACAACCGCGCAGGACACAGCACCTCCCGCCACTGGCGCACTGGCAGAGGCAGGCCGGCCGCTGAGGCCAGAACAGGGCAAGCCGAACCCCCACGCCCAGCCCGGCCCACCCCTCCCTCCTCGTAGCCCAAAATACCCAGACGCTTTCCTGCCTGTAAAACGAACAACGCTCGGCGTAGATGATGCCGGGAGTACTGTTTTTCAAGTCTCTCTTCTCCTCTTTTCAGTGAAGAAACTCTCCCTCGGTGAGAGCTTTGTTACCTGGCCTGACAAATTAACCCAAAGGCTGGTTAGCTGGGTGTCAGGTCATGGGACCCCACGCAGCACCCCCTTCCGCCTTCCCTCCTATATAACCTATTAGCACCAGGAGAAGCCCCCCCCCCTGCAAAGTCCCAGCTCCCCTGCTCACCAAGGGGCGGGGCGGGGAAGCGTCCTGCTATGGTGTGCAACTCCCCCAGGGTGCCCCGCTTTGAAAGCGGTGGATTTTGCTGAATGTAAAACCCCAAGCTTTGAAATAAGACCCCATGTCGGGGATGGGGGGGGGGCGGTTCTGAGCCGGAAGCTGCAGCAGAATCACCAGGAGCTTTTTCAGCTTCAGGGCCACCCCCTCACCTCTCCCATGCTGCTTTTGGAGCAGGGGTGGGGGGGGGGGGGCAGGGCCCACAGCTCCCCAGGTGACTCTGGTTAAGAACCTCTCCATCAGAGGGTCTTTGTTCCCCTTGAGCCCCGGGGAAGGCCCCCAGAGGGAGCTGCTTGTGCCAAAGCCCCGCGTGGGGCCCCTCCTTAGAGCTCCACTCACCCCTTGTGCCTTTAAATAGCACAGCCCCCTGGAGCTTTTAAGACACACTTTACCTTCAAAAAGTAAGTGCCGGCTCCCGGTCTTCCAGGGAACAGATCTGCTAAGTGACATGAACCACGGGCTCCATAACGTGGCCTCAACGTGGCTCTGACGGCAACGACATGGAAAACGGCGCAGAGCAGACGTCTGACGCCTCCAGAGGACCTGGCCTGTTACGCCTTTTTAGGAAAAATAACGTCTCCATTTTTTTCTGGTTTAAAAAATAGCATCTTGGGGCGCCCGGGGGGCTCAGTCGGTGGAGCGCCCGACTCTTGGTCTCGGCTCAGGTCGTGATCTCAGGGTTCGTGGGATCGATGCCTGCACGGGGCCGTGCGCTGAGAGCGTGGAGCCTGCTTGGGATTCTTGCTCCCCCTCTCTCTGCCCCTCCCTCTGTCTCAAAATAAATTAAAAAAAAAAAAAACTTAAAAAAATCTTATACAAATGCCAAGGAAGGGGTCGTGCTACGCTTCACAAAGGGCTTCTAAGAGGACTTACCAGCAGAGGGTAGGAAATCTAATTTCAGATTTCAGAGCTGGAAATCTGATTTCAGCATATGACCGTGGGTTTTACAGAAACCTTGGGAGCATGCAGATCGTGCAGGGGAGGGCGCAGCTCCCACAGTGGTGGCCTGAGGGTCCCCAAACCCCCCACCTGATGCTCTGCCCGGTGCGTCCCCCCCTTCCCCGCCTCTTGTCCCAGACCTTGAACACGGCCAGGCCTTGCTGGTGCCCCTTCCTCCTGAGGTCTGTGGAAAACGAGGATAAAAACCAACACATTCTTGGGAAACACCTGACTGTGTTCTTCAGTGGAGTTAGGAGGGAAGACTTGCTTCTTTCCCTGCCTTTGTGTGTTTGTTCTGTTTGTTGTCGTGTGTGTGTGTGGTGTGTGTGGAGCAGCAAAGGACTTGATCCAGCTTTAAAACACACCCACACCCTCACAGCCCCTCCCCCACGGGGGAACCTGCCGGAAGGACCCTGAATCTTGGCCAAGCGCAGGAAGTGCAGTCTTGTCCGCGGGGGGGGGGGGGGGGGGGCTGGACCGCCCGGTGGCAGGAGGAAAGAGGGACCGCTCAACTCTTTTTGTCTCCCTGGGGCTGCTGGTCCCTGGCGTTCGCTGCACAGCACATCTCTGCTTCTTTCTGTCCCAAACCACCTTCCTCTGCTTATGTCCGCCTGGTTCCCCAGCCCAAATACCTAACGGGGGCTCCCGGAGTCTCTGAGTCACAAAGTTTCTTGCAGCGACAATCTGCTTTGTCCAGCTCGAGTCCCGCCCGTTAGCCGTAGCAAAGTGGGGGGCAGGGCCCGCCTGACCCCCTGCCCCGCGGCCACGCACCCCCACTGTGTCGCTTCCCTGCCCGGCTCTGTCCTTCATAAACAGGCACACGTCCCTGCCCCTCTCTGTCCTCCCGGCCCAAGTGGCAGGCATCGCTGGACGAATCTCCTGTTCTCGCCTGCCCGGCATCATCGGCGGCTCCTCGTTCCAGCTTCAGAATCCCCTTCGCCTTCTGGAAGCCCCCGTCGCCCCACACTGTCCGCACGGCTCAGCTCAGGCTGCGGCACTCCACTCCGCCCACCTGCCTGGACACTGGGTCCCTGTGACTCGGGTTCAGGGGGTGAGCATGCGACCCACACGGGGCCAAGGAGAGGCTCAGCCAGGACTTTCGGTGGACCTGTCAGGAAAGGGGTTTTCTCTTTCCGCTGGAGTTGCCCATGGCCGTCGTGGTTGCCCCAAAATGAAGGCAGCTCAGACGAGAAGCAGAGCCGAGAAACAGGATGGACAATCGACGGACGCCGCGGTCTGAGCAGCTCAATGCGAACACGTGTGAAGCAAGTGGACCCCGCGAGTCTTTCTTCTGCTAAACCAGTTTCTTGGCTTCAGCCAGTTTGTCCCTTCTGCAGCCAGAGGGATCGAACCTACAACCCAGTGGAAAGAAACTACTTTCATCGTTCTTGGTCGGTTTCGGCCCCGTCAGCCAACACTCACAGGATGCAAGAGCTGGAAAGGCAGGAGAGCGCGTGAGGCCCAGGGCTTGGTTGCTGGCAGGAGCTCCAGGCCTTGGGGACCGAGCCCGAACTTCGCAGCCCAGAGCAAGCGTGCAAGTGGGGATCCACGTCACGTGTCCAAACGTTCACAAGGTACCAATCGAGCTCACAAACTATTAAAGGCGGCGTATCCCGTGCTTCCATGCTTCCACTGTGACATACGCGGTCTTCGTTTTCGACCTAGAAGGCCAGGTCCCAGTGCAGGATCCTCCGCAGCTTGGAATTCTCCCTGAGGGCGCGGGAGGGCCGGGCCGCCAGCGCGGACCCACCTCCCTTCCCTTCCCGTCCGGCTCCATCCTGCCCGGAGAGACGCCTCACACAAGCGGTGAGCATCTCGGCCCCCACGCGCATCCGAGCTCCGCTGCCCCGCCCCCCCCCCCCCCCCATTCCAACGCTGCCCCTTCTTTACCACTCAGGCTCTGCCCTCAGGAGGACGGACTCAGGAGAAGAGCCTGGGCAAGTCCTCACGACAGGCCTCGGGCACTCGGACAGAGACTTCCTGCATCACGGGCACCCAGAACGTGGCCTAAAATGCGGGAGAGGGCGCGCAGGGCTCAGGCGTTGTGTTCCTTGGTCCTAGAGACCCTCTCCCTTCGAGGGGGACCGCGGCTGTGGGAGGGCTAGGGCAGGGCCAGGCCAATGGGCAGATCCCAGCCGAAGTTAACACACAGGCGACTAGAACTAAGTTTGCAGGGCCGACCCGTGCACTGGCTTCCACCGAGTGTCGGTATTTTGTTTTGACTAGAGTGTCTATAGCACTGTATAGAGTGCTGTAGGCCCGGTCGCTGTTTGCTGAGGCACGGGGCCACCGGGCTGCGGGGACTCTGCATGTCCGGGAAAGGTGGGTGTCTCACCACCAGCGGGGATTCGGCCGTCCCAGCAGCTGGAGACGCACTTGTGCTGAAGTCCTATTCACAGGACCGCCCCCGGCCGGGCACAGCGTGCCCCCACGAGACCCTCCCGAAGTTCTTCCTAGTTTCTGGAAGCACTATGGTGAACAACGGTCTCCACTTGGGGCTCTGCTCTGAGAATACGGGCGTCTGCCACTCTGTTCGACTCATGCTTCAGGATTACAGAAGTACGTTCCTGGTGGGAACGAGAGTCTGGAAGGAAACTGCACGTAACGTGAAGGCCCCGGGGACCCAACAAACGGAAAGAGCACTTGGAAACATGTCAACAGGGAGACGGGCCAGTGTGGGGACGGGGCGACTTTCTGCAAAGCGGAATGCCCGGCTGCCCAGGCCGCTACAGACGGCCAGGGCATCTTCCCTGTTGCACGTGTGTGTGTGGGGGGGGGCACCGAGAGCGTCCAGCCAGTCCCCACCGCCCTCCCCCAGCAGGACCAGCAGGTCTCAGGACCTCGACCACCCACCCCAGGCCCATAAACCTCCCTTCCGGAATCTCCAGTGGGAAGGGCCGGGGTGAGGAAACGGTCGGAAGGCTGAGATCACTCAAGGGCTGGCACTCCCCCTACATCCCAGCTCTGCGACATCCTGTAATCTGACCCCTCAGGCACGGTCCCTGGGGGGACACTGGGGGCGTGACCCCAAGGTTCTCCCCACTCAGCAACTTCTCTTCTTAATAGCACCCTTAATAATTCGGGAAGTCGACAAGGGCCAAATTAACACCAGAGACGACCTACACAAAGCTGACCCGAAGGAAATAAGCATGAGCCCCTCTTCTTCAGAGTTTTGAGGGCCCCGGGCAGCCTTCTTGCCCTGGAACGTGCAATCAGAATCAAGAGAGACTTAAACCGGACTCGTGTTTGAGGACTCCAGTATGTTTTTTGATACAAGAAAAGAACATCTACATTAAACGTTTTGCATCAACCAACGACAGTGCGATTGGATCACGGTAACTCCCAGACAACGACAGGATTTATTTACAAAAGTGTCACAATACGTGGGAAGCAATATAGTCTGGTCGTGATACACAGGCACGAAACCATTAAGCTTTTTTTTTCTCCAATCCCACTGGTGTTTCTCGGTGTCCGTAATTATAACCTCGTTGAGAGACAACCCCAAGTCTAAATTTGAGGCACTTCCTGAACGGGAGGCCACCGCTCGCGGCCCTCTACCCTTGCGGGCGTCTGAGCTGGTCCTGGATCTGTACCGGTCCTGGATGTGGGCAGGTGCTGTACCTCTCACGCAGGACACGGGCTTCTGGGGCCCCGTGTGGTCTCTCCAGACTAGGGCTGCTGTCCACCCGCTGGGCCTGCCCACCTTGGTCTGCAGGTGCCTGGAGGGCCCCGTAAGAGAACTCTCCTCTGCCCCCCGCTGCAGAATTCGGCAATTGCTCTGGACATTGTGCTCCTGCCCGGTTGTTCTAACCCTTCTGCCCGCTCCATGGGACACACTCTTTCCTCTAAAACCTCAGAGCAGTAAGCACGGGCCAGGCGATGGAGACACAGAGAGGAGCTGAGCGGCTCTCCGGGAGCTCCCGGCCGAGCCAGGGAGACACGCGTGTGACGGCTAGATCGCACCACAGTTAGATGAGAGCAGAACCTCTCGGTTTCTTTTTTCCTTACTTTCACTGTTCATCTCCCCGTCAGACTCAAAGCTCCATGAAGATGGACGGTGTTGGTTTCATTCTGTCTCCTCCCCTCCTAGCACATAGTAGGTGTTCGATGCGTACTCGTCCAACAGACAAATACTTCGCACACTTGTCATTCTTTGTGCTTATGTCACAAGTATTTCTCAGTCTAATTACATCTTCTTCGGTTTATTTCAATTTTTCTTTAATGTTTATTTACCTTTGAGAGAGAAACAGAGAGAGACAGAGCATAAGCAGGGGAGGGGCAGAGAGAGAGAGGGAGACACAGAATCTGAAGCAGGCTCCAGGCTCTGAGCTGTCAGCACAGAGCCTGACGTGGGGCTCAAACCCATGAACCATGAGATCATGACCTGAGCCAAAGTCAGAAGTTCAACCGAGCCACCCAGGCGCCCCAACTTTGAGTTATTTTCAAACATAGGAGCTGCACAGGCACACGGACTCACACACACCTTATCCTCCTTTCCTCTGTCACTCCTCCTGTCTCTCCATGGAGAATAGTTAAGTGTCTGCAGGCTGGCGGTCAGGGCTGGAGTCACAGGCATTGGGGGGAGGCGTTGGCAGCAGTAATAATGACAAAGGCCAGAGCCCCGAGGACCACATAGGAAGAAAGTACGAAAGAGAAGTGAGAAACTGAGGCCCCAGGGCTCCATCATGCAGAGGCCGGGCACAGGGAGCTGGCCTGGGAGGCTGGCCGGAGATGTAGGAGGCAGGCCAGCAGCCTTGGTGTCCCGGGACACTGACAGGGGAAGCTGTGCAGAAGACGGGGTTCCAGGAAGAGGCCCTGCCCAAGAGCGGGCAGGCCTTTGCTTTTTCTTCTACTTGTTCCATGGTTTGCTTGGTAGGTTTCGCATTTAGTGTTTATTTTGAGGGGGGCAGAGAGACAGGGAGAGAGAGGGTGCAAAGCTGTCAGCACAGAGCCAGACGCGGGGCTCGGTCCCACAAACTGAGATCGTGACCCGAGCTGAAGTCAGACGCTCAACCGACTGAGCCGCCCAGGCGCCCGGTGGGTTTCGCGTTTAACCGCCTGACCCGTCTGAGGTCCGCGGAGACGCGGCGCGGGGGGTGAGCCCCGACCGCCTCCAGCCTCCAGACGAAGGGGCGCCGCGGCACCTGCCTTTTGGTTTCCGGGTGAATGCGCACGGCTGGAACTTGCAGTTCCAAGTCCCGCTTCTCCCTCCCAGGTGTGCGACGTGGGGCCGCTGCTCCCCGCCGGCCTGCGGTGCCCAGGCTCGCTCTCACCACGGCTGCCGGGGCTCTGACACGGGCACATTCGGACCGGCGCACGGTAAGCGCTCAGTAAGTGCGGCAGAGAGCAGCGTGAGCCTCCACAGCAGGCCCGGAGGCACGGCTGGTGGCGCGGGCCGGCATCCGGGGGAGGCGCGGGGCCGAAGGCCTGAAGTGCTTCCCCGGCTCCCGAGTGGCTGCCAACAGACGCTTGTCTGTGCATCCCGGCAGCCGTGAGCAGAGTGCGCAAAACCAGCGATGCAACCAGCCGCTCCAGCCTGCCGGACCCCGCATCCAGCCATAGGACCCAACAGCCAGCCGCCGGACCCTGCAACCAGCCACAGGACTCCGCAACCAGCCGCCGGACCCCGCACCCAGCCGCCGGACCCCACACCCAGCCG